ACAGGATGGCTACAGATAGCTTCCTTCAGACTCTTAAAAGCCTTTTCTGGGCACCATTTAACTATAACTGGGGACTTTGCTTTAACAAGGTCTGTTAGAGGTGCAGCAATGGTAGCAAAATCTGGGATGAATCGCCTATAGTATCCAATTAAACCCAAAAATGCCTTTACTTGTTTTTTTTGTAAGGGGCTGTGGCCATTTTTGTATGGCTTCCACTTTGGCTTCCTGTGGTTTAACCAACTCCCTCCCAACAGAATAACCTTAGTACTTTGCTTCCTCTAAACCAATTGTACATTTGGAAGGATTGGCAGTTAAGCCTGCTGAGCGGATAGCATCAAGCACCGCTTGAACTTTGGGGAGGTGGGATTCCCAGTCTGCACTGTGGATGACGACATCATCCAAGTATACTGCAGTATAACGAACATGAGGTTTAAGAATTCTGTCCATCATTCGTTGGAATGTGGCAGGTGCCCATGTAACCCAAATGGCAATACAGTGTACTGAAACAGGCCACTGGGTGTTGAAAAGGCTATCTTTTATTTGGCTCTTTCAGTGAGAGGGACCTGCTAGTAACCCTTTGTTAAATCCAAGGTTGTTAGATAACGAGCTTTACCCAGTCTTTCTATTAACTCATCAACTTTGGGCATTGGGTAAGCATCAAATTTTGAGATGGCATTTAACTTGCGGTAGTCATTACAGAACCTCCATGTACCATCAGGTTTTGGCACTAATACAATAGGACTAATCCAGTTACTCTGGGATTCTTCAATGACTCCAAGTTTTAACATGCTCTCAAACTCTAAGTTTATAACCTCCCTCCGGGCCTCAGGAATTCTATAGGGTTTGAGATCAACTCTTTTCCCTGGTTCGGTTATTATGTCATGTTTAATCACCTTATGCAACATAAATTACAATCATGTATTGTGAGCGGCTACGGTATTAGCCGTAAGTACAATACATTCTCTGAGCGTTTTTCATGGAAAGACAGATTAAAGGCATTTTTTGGCCGATATGGTACGTTGTGATTTCTACGATGTCAAATTTAACTTATGCGTTATAATTTCTACTAATGTATTGAGACATTAGTAATTAGTATATTTAATAAGGAGAGATGATAAAAAAAAATCTAATAAAAGTTAGTGAGGCGAACATAGAGTCCTTTTGGGATACGTTAGAATCTAGTGTAGGTGTGATTTACAGGCCCCCTGGACAAATAGAAGAGTTAAATAATCTACTAATTGAGGAAATAGCTAAAATTACCATGAAGGGAGAAGTTATCATCATGGGTGACTTTAATCTTCATGATGTGAATTGGAAAACCAAAATAGCTGCTTGTGCCAGGAGCACACATATTCTAAGCTCCCTACTGGGATTGTCTGTAAAACAAGTCGTTGAGGAGCCAGCTCGTAAGGAGGCCATAATAGATTTAGTGTTAGCAAATGGAGATTTGGTATCAGATATTACTGTAGGTGAAAGATTAGGATCCAGTGATCATCAGTCAGTGTGGTTTAATATAAGAATAGTGACTGAGTCACACCACAAAAAAAAAGTTTTAGACTTTAGAAAAACAGAGTTTTCTAAAATTAGAATATGTGTAAAGGAGTCATTATCAGATTGGAGCAATTTAAATGGAGTCCAAGAGAAATGGGATTATT